TCTCCGTAACCTCACCAGCATTTATTGTTCAGAGTCTTTTGGATTTTAGCCATCCTAACTGGGGTGAGATGGTATCTCAGTGTAGTTTTGATTTGCATTTCCCAGATGCTGAGTGATGTTTAGTATTTTTTCATATGTCTGTTGGTCATTTGCATATCTTCCTTAGAGAAATGCCTACTTAGCTCTTTTGCCCATTTTTTAATTGGGTTGCTTGTTTTTTTCTTGTAAAGTTGTTTGAGTTCCTTGTATATTCTGGTATTAATCTTTGCCAGTTGTATATTTTGCAAATATTTTCTCCCACTCTGTTGGTCGTCTTTTAACTCTGTTAATTGTTTCTTTTGCTGTGCAGAAGCTCTTTAGTTTGATATAATCCCATTTGTTTATTTTTCCTTTGGTTGCCCATGCTTTTGGGGTTGTATTCATGAAGTCTGTCCAGTCCTATTTCCTGAAATGTTTCTCCTATGGTTTCTTTAAGAAGTTTTATTGTTTCAAGGTGTATTTTTAATTCTTTAATCCGTTTTGAGTTTACTTTAGTATATGGTGAGTGGTATGGGTCTAGTTTCATTCTCCTGCATATTGATATCCAGTTATCCCAGTACCATTTGCTAAAGAGGCAGTCTCTTCCCCAGTGTATAGGCTTGGTGCCTTTGTCAAAGATCTGATGGTTGTAAGTGTGTGGGTTGATTTCAGGATTCTCTATTCTATTCCATTGATCAGTGTGTCTGTTATTAATGCCAGTACCATGCTGTTTTGGTTATTATAGCTTTGTAGTATAGTTTAAAGTCAGGTAGTGTTATGCCTCCAGGTTTATTTTTCTTGGTCAGCATTGCTTTGGCTATGTGCAGTCTTTTGTTATTCCATATAAATGTCTGGATAGTTCTTTCCATTTCTGATAAAAATGTCATTGGAATTTTGATGGGGATTGCAATGAATTTGTACATCACTTTGGGTAGTATGCACATTTTCACAATGTTGATTCTTCCAATCTAAGAGCATGGGATGTATTTCCATTTTCTTGTATCCTCTCTAATTTCTCTCAGCAGTGGTTTGTAGTTCTCATTATAGAGATTTTTCACAT